GAACTAGGTATTTAAAACTACACCCAAGCGTAAGCTGCATGAAGACAGGTAATTGCAGATTAATATTCCACTGTAATACTTGTGCACAAGAGTGCCGAGTTAAAGTTGCCATGGGAAACAAGCCTGAATTTCTTCACTTTTCAGCAATGCACGATCATCCTTAATAAAGGTTTTGGCAGGTGATTTCTAATGCACTGAGCTTTACAGCCACACAAAAACCATGGAAGGAGAAAGCTGCTATGAGGGGATGTCTAGAAAGAACAGGTAGGCACAGGCACATCTCCATTACCTGCTTCTGGGTAGGACTGTGACAATCTCCATCACTTTGCAAGCCACCTTCTGCATTCCCGTCCCGGCCTTCAGAGCTCCACTGAGCACTGCTTGAAGAGCGTGCAGAAGGTACCTCACAGCCTGCTTCCAGGCAGACCAGTGGGTCATCCATAACCTCCTGCCACTGCAGGTTTGTGATTTCAGGGACATATTCCTCCCAGTAAGTCCTCTGAGCCCAGACTACAGCTCCCAAGGCGACTTGCCTATCCCCCCATCTACTCACCCTGAGCAAGGAGCTCGGCAGGGACTGCACATCTGTTGCTAGAGCCTAAATTTGATGGCAATGAACATCCATTTCCATTACAAGGCCAGTCTATAAATCACAGCATCTCAGGAGCAGAGACACATCACACCGTTGTCTCTGCCATGGGAAAGAGACCACGGGTAGAGCAGTACAGGCAGGGGAGAGTCAGCGATGACTGCAGCTGCTCCAGTCGCACCTGCCCACGACTGCCAGCTTAGCCACGAGACGGATGCGCCGGGGAAAACGCCTTTAGCACTCTCTTATACCAACACTCAAGGAATCACAGCCTGAACCCAATTTACCCTTGTTGGGTATCTGTACCCTGTATTATCAGAAAGACTGGCTCCCATTTGTCAATATGCTTTTGCCAATCAGGAAGTGTACTATGATCATCCAGATTTGTTTGGACACAAATAAATTAGTCACTGAACATATGCTTGTTCATAGTCTCGGTGTTCAGGGGTTTATGTTGAAATGGCGAGTGATGTTCTGTATTTATTAGTATGTCCAGTTTCCTCTGACAGCAATTATAATTAAAAATTCCCCCCAAATAACAACCAAAACACATGCCTGTTGAAATATGTTGAAATATCCTACAACTTGAAATATGTCGGATACATTACAGAAAAATATCAGATGTTTTTGTATTAAAATATGCTGTTTAAAAGAACAAGGAAAGTATTGCCTGTAAACAATTTATTCTTCTCTGTCTGGTCACAACCCTCTTCAGCAATTAGAAGATCTAAACATTTCATATCTTCCTCTTACAGAGAGTTCGGAAGAGGCAAATATCTCATTCCCAAGTGATTATCAAATTTGAGGGACTCTCAGACACTGAAGTCAAGTACCTGAAGAAAAAAGGACATTAAAAAAAGCAACTTCATCGTTACCAAAAGCTCATTTAGCAGTTTAGCAGCTCCTAGATCCAGCTCCCTCTGCCAGGTCAGGGGTTTGATACTCTTTCACACTTCTATGCAGCAAACATACAAAGCTTGAATTTTATGTGGTTTTCATTTAAGTGGCTTTAATAGATGACAGTAGAGATTACCATCCTATGTGGAAGCTTAATTTCAAATTCAGCTTTGAACAGATCTGATTTTTACCTTCAGACTTCTTACATGTTAGAAAAAATCATTGCTTTTCATCTGCTCTGCTGAAGGTGAAGTCAAGACTCTTGGCTTGCTGACCACCCACTCACTGCATTAATAAAATAAGGTTACAGTCAGCCGCGGATCTGAGCCTGAGCAGCTCCTCAACACAGTCCCTGAAAGCACTGGCCACCATAAACACTGGTGTATACAAGGACAAAGGGACAAAAGAGCGAGACTCCCCCTTATTAATGCATCTTCTCTTGTGTAGCTAAAGCACCATATGCACCCGGCTCCACCGGCCGACAGCGTATAAAAGCAGCAGGCACTTATAGACTCTTAGCAGACAGTAAAGAAAAGTCAGAGTTAGAGCTGAAAAATGAGGCATGCTGCCACCGTTGTGGTCCGAGGTCCACCCACCCCTGCAGAACGACAGCTCCCACCTGACCCCACTGGGCTTTGGATCACTTTAAAGCTTACCTTGTACATTTGGAAAGTGATGCGAGGGGCGAGCCATAAACATCCCTGACTGCCAAGCCCTACTGACCTTGGCTGGCTAAAACACTACACGACACACACTGCGCCTCTATTCTATCAGGTTTTCCCATCTACCCCTCTGGGGCAATGCAGTTAAACCCCCCCACCCTTCTCTTCCCTCTGGGATGGTCTCATTATTCAGAAATACATCCAAAAAAACCCATAAAGCTAAGCTGCTGCTTTGTGCATATAAACATGCACTTTGATTTAGGGCCGTATCTGTTGAAAGCTGTCAGAAGTCAGGACTGCAAGGGCGCTACTGCTCCTCCGTGGGTGCAGGGCAGGAACACGAGGGACCCTCCATGCCCGACCCAGAAGCAGTAAAACAAAGGGCAGAGGCCACGAGGCATTCAGCCAGCGGTCCCAGCCACTGGGGCCATGACGCAGACACCTTCCCAGAGGAATACCACTGTCCTTGACCCTCCTTGATCCCCATTACAGAGGCCATACCACGAGACCTCAGAGAGGGATTGGGCAGCATGAAAGGGAATGGAAATGAAGGAGTCGGCAAGGCTCCCAAATGAGCATGAAGGACTTCCCCAGGGATAAAGCCAGCGAGGCTGCCGGCTGCGGAAGAGCACAAGTAAATACAGTGGGAGGGGGAGCAGATGTGGCAGTCACACACCTTAATGTAGATAAAAAGATGGCTTTTTCAGTAGCTTCTGGTAAGAAGCCAGAATATTTTGAAGAGCAGTCAGCTAGAAATGTGCAGCGTGCTGCACGGTGGCAAGTGCACTCTGCAAGACTTTTACGCTAGGCTGGCTGAATTCACCGCTATGCCTACCCACTTCAAGCAACCTGGGTGATCCAGCGTAGCTCTGTGTATGCAGCCTCCTCATCAAATCCCAATTCATTTGAATTTCATTGCATCTAGACCTCTATTTTGCAGGTATTAAAACAAAAGCAGAAAAAGGATCAGGATCACAGTGAAGATCAGCACCTGACCATTCCTAGCTCCCAGGTCTGTCCTCAGAACACACCTCCAAAACCAGTCTGCCACTGCTCCAGTGAAACATCCTGCCGCTAAAACCTTGCACAAAACATTGCTGAAGCACACGGCACAGTCTGCTCACCGTGACATACAGCCCAGCAGTGGAGAGAGCAAAAGCCCTGCTGGTCAGCAAAAAGGTAAGATGCAGGCAGAGGCATCAACTAAAGTCTAAGCTTCTGGCAGGCACCTGCAGCCCTTCCAGCTATACCTATTCCCCATGTAGAAAGAGTCATTCCTTTATTTGTCAAACTAATTTGTTGGTGAGGATGTGAGGACTGACAGCCCCTTCCACACACAATATGATGCAGACAGACACTGAACACAGCAGATTGGAAAAACAACAATGAAGAACATCTCCACCTTAAAGGTGTTATTTCGCCAACAAAATATATAGCAGATCTGCATTGGCCGAGACCATTACTTTCCCTGGCAAGGACTTGGGGACAAAGCTCCTTAAAACAGTAGTAATCATATTCCACTCATGCTCCTTTTTACTGCCAGCTGTAAACTAGCTCCACATGCATCATGGTTTTGCATCAAAATGTGCACAGACCAAACCCATATCCAAAGGGACAAGGTAGATCAATTTACAGCTTTGACAGGTCTGTGCACCCGAGGCGGAGCGTGCAGGAAACAGCCTGACATCTCACTTGGAGAGCAGTTAAGACCCTGCTAGCAGAAGGGGATGCACAGCCACCCCAGCCTCCCACGAACACCCAGGCCAGGAGCAGGGAATTTGCTGTCCGCCTTTCAAGAAACGCGAGAGGCGGGCGGCACTCACCAAGGCACTGCTGGGGAAGAGGGGAGCCAAGTTTGACCCCAACTTGCAGCACCCCTTTGACAGCACCAGCCTAAGGGAAACGGACACACCGCATCGAGTCACTTCAGTAATGAGACACCACACTGAAAACCGCTTACCCCTCAGCATGTTTGAAACAAAGCACACAGAGTTACTCTGAGCCAGTGCACATATTCCTGGCAATACCCATTAAGAGGCCAATTGGCAGAGGAGGGTGAGAAGTCCAAGTTCAATTTATAGACTCAGAAATTCTGTTTGTTACCAAATCAATATTAGGGGTTTTTCTCCCTCTTTTTAGCATGGTTTTCCAATTTAAATGGAAAACCTAGGCCCATCCTGCTGACATCTGAAAATAGACTGACAACTACGCTATATGCTACTATGGCAGAACTGTCTGCAGAAAAACCTCTGTACTTCATCTGGATCTCTGTGTGTCTCAAGTGGTAGGGCACTGGAAAATCTCTCTGAAGCTAAACTCTTCCTGTCTCATTACACTCCAGAGTTAACACCCTGATAAAATAACTTCGGCAAGATCAGATAGCTCCAAAGTATTGTTCTTCTCCACTTAGAAACACCATTATGTCACATATATGAATATGATTCAAACTATTCTTTTCCTAAAGCTGCTGGCTACCAACAGCCTTTTTCCTTGCAGAATCAAATAAGGCTGCCATGACTACTCTGCTAATGCAGGTTCCCAGCCAAAAATTTTTAAACCCTCTGCAGTTCAGGCAGATGACAAGCATACACGACTGAAAGATGTTTTCGATAACACGTGAATTTGTCACTTCCTTGATGGAAAGCAGGCTCCTTCAGTTCATTCCTACCAAATGGTCCTGGCATTGCTCCTGAGAGAGCAGGTGACTGGCAAGACCCCTGCGGGACCAGCAACAGAAAGGAGATGGGACAAACCAGAGAAAATCAGTGAGCAAGCACTGTGCTTTTTCCTTCCACCTCTCATAACAGCAGCAGCAACCTGCAAGGGGATAATTAACCGGATTGACTATTTACCTGAGGATGAATCTGTGGTTTATCACACGTAGCCTCAAAATCCAGCACTAAGAAGTAGTGATATCTCTGTGGAGGGAAGGATGACATTGCTGCCATGGAAGCTCCAAAGCCGTGGGACGCCAGTTTCCTGCTTACGATGGAGCCGTACCCTTTGAGAACACCAGCCGAGAGGAGGGAGCACACAGCTTGTCTTGTCCTTGGAAGTAAGTTTTGGGGAAACTTTGCTGCTCCAGTATGGAGGAGTGCTATCATTGAACATCCAGAGGCATCTGAAACTGAAGACAGACTCACATTACTAATACACACATACATCTCATCCCTGCTAGTATCTCTTCACTGGCTCCCTCCGTCAGGGATTTTCTCTGTGCTTCCCAGTGGAGGTTCCAGCACCGCAAACCTGAAATAACAGAGTAACCTGCCCTAAGCACGACAGATGGTATTTGGGCTGAGCTTAAGGTGTCCAGAATCAAGGGCAACTGGAAATTAACCTCTGCAAACGGCTCTAAATTAAGAACTATGAGACACATAACAGTCATGGCTCCAGGTACCAGATCACACCCCCCACTGAACCTTACCATAGCAGAACACAACACAAACCACTGAAACAGAGAAAATCTGATCTAAACGCCATTGAAAATTCTGAGGAGGCCTTGCATCTTTTCATACACAGTGCAACTTCTGATACACAGTCAGAATTAGAAACAGCAATACATGTTATCAGCACTACAACCTATCCAAACAGCTTGGCCCTGAAACGCCTGTTAGGTGCACCGACACTTCCCACTTCCATTACAAATCCACACGTCTGGCAGCTGGAAGTCTCCTCCCTAGGGAAGTTCTCATTTGCTCTGCGTATGAGGTTTCTCAGAGATGCAATTCTAGTGCTACACTTTATTTCTTACTTTAGGTATTTCTCAGAGGAGGATAATGGTTCAACAAACCCACACGTGAACTTCAGGAACTGTAAAACACAAGGAGGGCTCTATAGACTACAGCCTCCCTCCCAAAGAAATACCTCACTCCGCCATCACCTTCAGCCACTTCTGTTTAAGAAACACTATTTAATAAATTACATTATTGGCGTGAGACTGCCTGGGTATCTCCCCTACCCTTTTCCCTTTAAAATGTTGAAGGAAAAACTTGACAGGACTGTCACTAAGGTGAGCCAGCCTTGAGGCTGTTAATGGATTGATCGGGATGACAGTTCAGGCCCAACTCACGCAGGTGTTGCATAGCTGGGGTACAGTGACAAAACAGGCAAACTTGAACAAGGACACGAGTACCCCCTCTAACTACATATATACACAGCTTGCTACACAGAGATCTAAACTCCATCCCCACGGTTGGTCTCGCTGCTCACGGCTCTAAGCGAGAGCTCCATCGCACCACGTGCCACCCACCCGCCTGGTTTCTGAATCCAGCCTCCCCGTGCCTGCATCTGCTTTTTGCTCCACCACAAAGGGCTGGAAGCGCCCGCCGTGAGAAACAGAGCTGAAACGGGCAAGGCAAAACGGAGGACTTGCCGCCCGCGAACAAAGTCGCTGTTTGCACAGAAGACAGCGTTTGCTCTCTCCCATCCGTTAGTCCATCAGGTAAATAATGCACGTGCCAAAACACACACTTAATGAGGTAAATAATATGCCTTGAATAACGGCTAAATCTGTATTTACCTGCGAGACCAGAGGAACTCGGAAGGACCCGATTAGGAGATAATTGCGGCTGAGCAGGTTGTGTGCTTCGAGTAAACACGCATTTGGTAACCTTCCCTTTCCAAGGTTTTGAGGGAAAGGCAAAAATCAAAGGAGCTGAGATGTTTAAGATGGAGCCAGGGCCCACTCTGCCAATTTCATGGCGCAAATGCATCCCCAACTCATAGCTTTCCCATTCTGGGGGGCTGTGTGCTTCATTAAAGCAGTGCGCCAGGCAGCAGGTACCCAGACAAGCGAAAACTCGAGTTACAAAACCGTAACGAAGAGCCCAGCACTGCATTTATTCTAAAGGGGCCCAGCTCTACCTATTGCTTTTCCATCTACAGCTTTTACTGTCATTAATAAACACATTACAGTCAAATAGAAGCTGTTCACTTCTAACCTGCCCCAGATAAGAGATATTTAAGTTACATGTGCTTTAAATCTTCAAGCTACCAAGCTATGAATCTAAATGCCCATCACAGCAAACGTAATATTTCAGAATAAAGCAGCTTGTAAGTTAGTTGTGGTAAAACCTGGTCCTTAGCCTACTGCATAAAGTAAAATACACAGTTGGAGTGGGGGAGGCACACAGGCTCCAACCCTTGTGTCAAACACAGGCAATAACACATACGTACACCCACAGACAGGAAGATCCGTACTTCTCTAATGTATCTTAGCTAGCAAGATGAGGGCATCAGCCATGATCCCCACAGATTTCCAGGCTGGCCCGCCCCACACCAAGCAGTGCAGAGGCCACTGAGTCCACACAGCAAAGTTAAACCATCCCCCTCGGCAGGAATCGGGCACGTCACAACACGGCCACGGCAGCATCACTCGGGACCCTGGCAGGTCTGTGCCACACAGGTGCTGTGGGACATCAGCGGAAGGAACTAACAGCCAACACCCAGCGTCTGCCTACACTAACAACTTCTGCAGGGGGTCCCTGTCTAACGACAGGCTCAGGCTCCCCATCCTAAAGGCAGCCTCCATCCCCTCCGTCCTTTGTGGCGGAGGGAGCGATGCTCCCAACAAAAGTGTGCAGCGGGGTACTGCATGCCGATTCCTTACGCAGCTGGCATACAAACAAAGAGCAACCCCACTGCAAACACCGCACCTTCAGCCAAATGAAGTTTTAGCTGCGTGTTTACCCAGCCACTGCTCTAGGTGCCCTGGGAAGACCTCACATCATCTTCGCCGGCAAGGTCAGAATGCCTCAGAGCACAGGATAACTGGTAAGCAAACACGCTTTATTAGAAGTCATGTAAAGCATTTATAACGGCTATGACAATGCAAAGCACTAGTAATTATCCCATATTTTTCTCCAACAGACAGCAATGCCAGCAACGCAGCTTCAAAAATTAGAAACCTGGCTCTATCCGTATAAATCCACACGTTCAGCGATTTAATTTCCAAACCTGTGTAAAACACCCCATATATATTTCTTACGCACACAGGGTCAGATGATCTCAGACAGTGCAGACCGTCACACCGGGCATCCAACCCTACCAGGTTAATAGTTCATATCACACAGCTCCAATTCCTTACACAGACACGTATGAAACTTAATGGGACCATGAACCGAGGCTGGACTTGAGGAATTATTTTGATACGCTACACACAAACCTGGGGAAGTTTGACAGCCACTTACATTCGCACCACCCAACACCACAGGAAGCAGCCACGTGCAGTGGGTTTTGGCTGGGAGATGGTGTTATGTGCTGCATAACAGCGTGTGCCACACGTGATGTCACTGGCCATCACCAGCAACTGTCTTTTAGAAGTAATTCAAAAAAGTTAATCTCTGGATATCAGCGGCAGGGGACTGGACAAGCTCAGGCTGACCGCAGCTCTCGCTTGTTCGTGGTCCAAGCACACGATACTAAATCACAGCAGTTTGATCCCCAGCAACTAAGGGAAGCCAAGAGAAAGAGAAGTGCCAGCCGTAGCCGACGGCTTGCCAGAAGCCCCACCAAGTGCGAAGCGGAGAATCTGTGTGGGCGGCTGTTGCACTCCAGGCTTCCCACCAGGAAGCTGCTTAGGGGCAACCACAACGGCAAGGAACAAGATGAGGAACTCCTGCCGCGTGAGGAACACTGGTGGCCAAAGCCAGCAGGGCACTGCAAATGCTCTCCCCACCCGCGAACAGCCCCAAAGCCACACACGGAGATGTGCACCATGCAAGCTGCAGAGGATTCAAATCAGCCTACAAAATTGAGCTTAACGGGCTCTTTGCACGAGTATTTACCCCTTACAACCACATCTTATTAAAGTCACGTGGCAGCAAGAGAAGGCATAACTTTAACAGCGTGCCCTGAACCGCAAAATACTCCCTTTCACTGTCCCATTTGATAAGCTGAGGTGGGGTGGGGGCAAGAAGATGAACACCTAGGTTCAGGCTGGAGGTGTGTCCCAAAAAAAGATAGGGTTTACAAGAGCCTCCATTTACATGTTAGATTACTTTGTAATGGCACTATGGCCCTCCACCATATTAAAAAAATAAACAAAAAACCCACCCTAATCTAAAGTACAAGACAAACTCAAATTAAAAAGTAAAAGCAAGCAAGCTTTGGGAGTCAAACTTCAGTTTATTCCCTGTGCAAAGTCTGGGTGGGGGCAGCTGTGCCTCCTGGCCTCCAACAGCCAACTGAACTCAGGGCTACAGCAACCAAAACCAATCCAAAATGTACATCAGGTTTGTCTTGTTTTATTAAATTATAGTGTCTTATTTTATGAAATTATAAGGAGTAAAAAGACAGGGTAATAAAGATGCTTTTTGCAGAACAAAATTGCATACATTTAGCAACACCTGGAACAGAGCATAAAAAAAAATGCAGAACTTTCATTCTGGTAGCTGTTCAAATTCATACTCAAGAGGTCAAATGTGAGTCCATGTTTCAGTTGTGCGAAGATGTAACTGAAGAACAATAGAGATAACTTTTTAAAAAAAAATTAAAAAAAAATCAACCTTAACCTAAAAATTCCATATGAACTACCGTCCAAAAATGACAGCACCTGGCTAGCCTGCAAAGCAGGAAAGGAACCAGCTTACCCACTGTCACCGTCCAAACTTGAAAAAAATAAAATACATAAAATAAAACAAACACCAAAACACAAAGCTTTCAGAACCGTTTTAATAATGTAACAATTTTTAGACAGGTAAATGTGCTTCTTTAATTAGTCAACCTCACAGGATCACCCCTTGCACATTAATTCAGTACACTTCCATGCTCGCTCTCCCTTCACTTATGGCTGGGTTTGTCTCCAGCACTGCTCCACAGCCAAGCCCATGTTCTGGAAAATTTGTAACGCAGCTTTTCCAAAGTATTGCCATGGGATGCCTAGATGCTGTCCCATCATTACTCAGCTCAGATACAACCTGGCATCAATGATTTGGGTTTTACACCCCTCCACAATCACACCCAGCCTCTTCCGACTATAAACAATGAAGTCCCTGTTCTCAAGAACTTACAGTCTAGAAATCAGATGCAATACAACAAGTGAGGATAAAAGGAGAGAAGAACAAGGGTTACAGGAGCAAACCCCTCATCTGGGAGGTACATGCATCTCGGTAGTTCAATT